AATGGATTATGGAAGGAAACAGCAAACGCGAAGCTGATCATACAAAACTTAAAGAAGATACTACTAAACTCAAGAACAAAAACACTGAACTTGAAGCCGAAGTAGCGAAATTAAGACATGATATTTAAGAAATCAAAAAGAAAGATCAAACCATTTCTAATATACAGGATGCACTTTCTATGGAAGAGATTTTGTCTACTTCATCTGATAATGCTTCAAATTCTAATAATTCTAATGAACTTAACGTTCCAAATTCTGATGTATCCGATAACACTTTTTCAGAAACTAAATCTTTTAAAGATAAGGAAATCGAATTTCTGGAACGAGTACATAAAGAAACCGTTAGCAATGAAATAAGAGAGAGAAATCGAAAACAGAAGCTTCGAGCCCAAAACTCTATATTATATGATAAGGATATTTCATCATGTGATATAAAAACCGTTTCCCAGGGAAACGATCGTGGTAATATTGAAAGTAGTGTAGATATTGCTTCCCAAATAAGCAATCAGCAAAAAACTATTCCGAATACTCCTTTACTAGCAGAAGATCTTGACGATTCAGATAAAATTGAGCTTACTAAAAATCAGAATATAGAACTGGATTTAATACGAGATTTACGGAGTGGTAGTACTATTGCTTCACCTACCGAAGATAATATATATTCAAAATTGTGCCCGCTCCATTTGGAAGGAGAGCCCTACAGTTGTGATTGGATACATGAAACCCGTCTTTAATTGGACAAACTTGATCACGCCACAGAATTGTTTTTCTTCAATAAAAAAAAATAAAATAAAATAAAAATATTTTTTTAAAAATATTTTATTTATGCACTTCCAGAATTCTCTCTAAAAAAAAAATCGAATAATCTTAAACATTACCGAAAATAAGTAATTTTTGTTCAGTATTTTATTCTCAAGAGAATAAAATTTTGTTGAGACCTACGTTTACAGACTTGTAATTTTAAAATACAACCAAAGCTTTTTCAAAATTCCTTAACTATATTCTTGGCCGCAATTTTTACTTTGTTAAAAAATAATTAATCGATATGAACATTCAAATGTTTCATGTATATTTTTAAAATGCTACGGCAAAATAAATTTGTTTTAATACTAATACGATAACAATGTAACTCAAGTTCTCAAAAGCCATTTTCCCGAAAGAAAATAATTAGCCAGTACTATGTTCTTTCAGGAAATAGCTTTCGGAAATCGTACAGTAACCCTGATACAATACTGTTATAGATGCTAGTTTGCTAATAAATAAATGTTACTGATAAGTTGCTAAATAATTAGTAAATTTTCATACACTACAAAAACAAACCAAAAAAAAAATCAATACTTATTTTGTTTTCGGATTTTTGTATACGTAGCAGTATGATTAACGTATGTTTATTTCAATTAAAAATTTTACATAAAATTGGCGAAAATTTATATAATCGCATACACGAAATCATTTACTAGAAAAATTTGAAGTGCTAAAACTCAAAGGAGCAAACTAAACAATGAAAGGACTATTTTTTTTTAAAAAAAAACTCAAAAGAGCAAAAAGATTATTTTTTAAAAAAAAGTTTAATCAATATGTAATCATTGCGAAATTTTTAGCCACTCTGATTAGTGATGTAATTGGTTTCGTTTAGTGGAAAACATTTATATTCGTCCAATGAGAAGTGTGAGGAGAAATTATTTATTATTTATGTAACATCGATATTAAAATACTAAAATAAAATCCCAAAATACACATGCAAAAGCCTCGAACTTGTCAATCTAAACATTATTACCGAATACTTTCATTAAATAAAACCTTATTGCAAATGGCGCATTTTCACCTTGTGTTTTATTATATCCCCAGTCAATAATTAAAATGTTACTATCATCATCACGAAGGAAGTTATACTTTCGAAGATCCATATGTACGATCTGAAAATTTGAATGTACTATCTCAAGGGTTTTAATGATGTTTTCAATATCTTTTATTTGCAGATTTTTGACTTTATTGCATAGAGGAGTCATAACAAGAGTATCATCGTTGCTCAGAAGGAGGTTCGGAAGATAAGGTGAATTCAGTTCTGATAATCTAGTCAATACATTCTTTTCATTGGTAAAGCAATGTAAATATTGTGCGTTTTTTGCTTTTTTTCACGACTACAGAGCTTTCATTATTCTCAAGGGTTCCCTCATATACAATACTAGTTCTACCCACACTAATAGATCGAACTAATGTTACTGTTTTTATAGTATTTCCATCTGCGAAATTTATTGAAGGCTCAATCCATCCCAACTGGTCCGGAGAATTCTCCACGAGTGTCACCAAATATTTCCAACTATTTGGAGGTTCAGAAGTTTTATATGTTAATGGCTCGGGTAATATGTATCTATACGAAAATAGATTATTGTCTCCTCTAAAGATTCGTATGATACAATCCGTTAACACTGCATATACATATTGTCGTTGTAGTTGAAGCTGGAGCACCTTTTTACCAAATGCTACTGCGTGTCCTATATCAGCATTTTTAAAATTATGACTAGTTCTTATTTCACCAACAGCTACAACATTCAATGGATCTAGAGGTTTTCCTTTTTGAATGAATACAAAATCTGGTTTTTGAGTACTCAGTAATGGTATAGAATGTGTGTCTACAACATGAAGTTTTATCTCTGGTAATACTTTTAGTGCCTTACATTCATCTATGAAGTATTCTTGTATTTCATCCTCATTTTTTTTGCGTCTGATGAAATATTGGGTGGTTTTTGAAACTTTCCATGTGAAGTTCGTCTACGAGTTTGAGTTAATACAAATGAAAAATCCATTTTTGTACTATTAAGTTAGTGATCCAAGCTGATTAAATTTTTACAGCTAGGCTAAGCCATTATATTTTTAATGGCTTAGCGGCTTAGCCTATAATTTATGGGATACGTGTTATTTCACTTCA